GACAGCTGAAGGATGCTCGAGTCTGAAAAGGGAAAATAGAGAGGGTTCGGCGAGGGAAAGGGTGAGAAGAATTTAGACGCGGAAACGACGGGGTGGCGAGCGGGATGGCGAGAGTAAAAGAGAAGGATGCACCAACCCTTTCCTCTTTCCTGGCTGTCGCACCGAACCACGGAAACCACCTTGGAAATTCTATTCTAAAAATACCGCGGCTCCTCCGCTTTTTTCGACCCGCTCTTTCTCTTCGACCCGCTTTTTTGTCTTTCCACCCCTCTGCGGAGATGAGCACCGGCCATATGGTCCGCGAGGGAGAGATAAAAAATTCATATTTCTCCCGCTCGAAGGGCCGAGCCGCGATATTTTTAAACCTCGTGCCGCGCCACGAAGAACGTTCAACTTTTCGTGACGCGGCTGCCAGTTTCGTGGAGAAATTTCTCTCGGTTTTACGCGTCGCTTTTACTTAAAAAAAAAAAAAAAAAAAAAAAAAANAAAAAAAAAAAAGAAACGATTATTCGTCGAATAATATTTTCGTTCCATTTCGCGCGTGGACGAATCGAATCGAGAGCAAAAATTTTTCGTATCCACGATCTCGTCGATTCCTCCGCGCGCGTTTCCAGGTGTCCGTTGATGTCTCTTTTTCTCTCTCTCTCTCTCTCTCTTTATGTCCTTCCCTCCCCCCAACGTGGAAAGATATTTCCATCGAATCCTGGCTACCTGGAATCGAAAGTACCGATTTTTTTTTTTTTTTTTTTTTTCTCTTTCGATCCACCCCTCCGGCCAACGGCGGCGGCTGAACCCGGTAGCCCGTTATTTAAAGGTTCTTTTTCGGCTAATGGTTTTCTCACACGGACACGCCGGAACGGTACAAACCCCTTCTTCTTTCCTGATATTGGAAACCCTTCGGCAAAGCTAACGAGAAGGCTGGAAAAAAAAAATCGTGACTCGTTGGAATTTTTGGAACTTTGATTCTTAGCTGAAATTATCATTATCATTATTATCATTATTATCATCATCGTGCTATATCATCGTACACACGGTATCTTTAGCCTTATTAAGCGAGGGCAACGTATCCACGTGGAGGTGAAATGTGAATAGCGTATTTCGTAGGTAAATCTATATGAGAGGAAAGGTAAATCTCGGCTCGAGAAGGAAACACGATATTTTACGGACACGCGGCTAAACGGGTCTTTAAGGAAACGATCGGTATCCTGACCCATTTCGTTGGGAGGGTTACGCCAGCAACCCTTTCGCCCGGAGAGAAACCTAACGGGCCGCGACCTCTTTTTCCCACATTCTACTTTCCACCAAACGCCTGTTACCTGATTTCCGAATCAGGGGTGAAAAGCGGGATTCCCTCGGATCGCAGGTGACGCGAGATAAAACGAAAATTAAATTTCCTGCCTTGTTGGACCTCTCGAATCAACCGCTATCGTTACCGAACCAAATTCGTGCCGTTTGGTCGTGTCAGCTGCATCTCTCATCTCGAATCGAAGGGATTCTCGTGATTAAATTAAAATTCGAGAGAAATTAAAAGAAAAACTTTGGAAGAGCGAAATTATTATTTTCATCGTGTTTATTTGCGTCCCATAATTCCTAATCCCTAAAGAAATATTAATTAATTCTAGACACGAGATCGAGCATCTTTGTAAAGACAAACTCGTATATCTTTGTCTATATATATATATATATATATCTGTCTACATATCATGTTTCGATTTCCTTCAAGATAAACGCGTATCTCTTATTTGTTTCTACTTAAGACACTTTTACGAACGATATTACAAACAATGACAAATCACGTCACTGGATCGCGACGTTTTTCGATTAACTTCTCGTCATATTTTTCGAACGTTTTATCCTCGATCGTAGGACGAAAATTGTATCCGTAGTTGACGAATTTCAAGCAGAAGCACTGATAACCGATAATAAAAAACACGTTTATTTTCATCAATAAATTCATCGCTAAATCTCTAAATTCATTTTGTTGCAGAGTGGTCGCGATCAGGGGGGACGAGGGAGGAGGGGACGAGTACGAGGAGACGCATCTCGCACCGAACACGTCTCCGGCTCGGAGGATTAATCTCGACGAACGAGGATGTCGAATCACCGATGAATCGAAAAGGAGGAACGTTCGCATGGCCGCGTGAGTACGTGAATCAGTCCCATTTTCGTTCATGACTCCTTTCAGCCTTAATCATCCTCAATCCGCGCCATAAACTACCCGCACGATGTAAATAGGCTCGGAAATGTCAATCTAAAAGTTGGAAGGGAACCGTGAATGGTCGGTGTTCCACGTTACGAAAGAGAAGCTAAGGCCCGGTTAACGGCCCCTGGGAACCGCTGCACGGCGTAACAGATCGTTTTTAATCGTCCGTCCTCGTCCTTTGTTTCACAGCGCAGCGCCACAGTTAATTCGGCACATTGTTACTCCATTATGTTTACGATTGGAGCCTCGTAAAAGAATCAACCTCGTCCATACGGGGCTGGCGGCGAAAAAAGGGGGAGGTTACTAGCACGGTCGGCCGGAGGGTGGCGACAACTCTCGACATTATTGGACAAGAGCGGCCTACCCCTGCTCTCGAAGCTTCCCTTTGAAGGGAGCGGGCCTGCGCCCTGCCGCTCTTTTGTTTCCACCGCTGTAACTATGGAAAACCGGAGGAGAGAATGCCTCTTGCACGAAATAACAAACTAACGATTCGCTCTGCCCTCTCCACGCCATCTCCCGATCCATTGTAATTTCACTTTTGCCTCTGGGGACTTGCTCGCCAAGAATTTTATTTTATTTCCAATTATATCCCTCCGACGTAATGTAACGACGATATAACTACGCGAAACTACGGGAAAGTATTAAATGACGATCGAGTAGAAATAATAATAGAAGTTGGTACGGATCGAGAGGGTAGACTCGTTCGAATTCAGAAAGGGAGAAGGAACGTAGGAGCAGCAGATAATGGGAGAGGGATTAGGGTGTCGATCGATAAGGAGCCTGTTCCAAATTTCTCTTCGACAGAGAGAGAGAGAGAGAGAGAGAGAGAGAGAGAGAGAGAAAGAGAGAGAGGAGATCGCGTTTTTTGCAAGTGCTCTCCGCCTCAATTAGCGACTAGCTAGAAGAGAGAGCGGGGTAATCACCCCTGCGAAACGAATCGCCGATAAGCGGCGACGATGACACGAGCGCCGCGTCCCGAGCAATAGAATGTGGGAGGATCTAACGGGGGGAGAGGGAGGGGGTTGTTGGAGAGGTTGCCCGCGTGACGTCATTGGCCGACACCGCACCCTGCCGATTCTGCGCAGGGGGTGCCAGTCGAACCCACGCCGACTGGGGAGGAATCTTTCTAACTCTCCCTCGTTACTCTATAATTTCTAAAAAAATATCAACTCTCTCTTTCTCTCTAGTTGGCTCTCGTTAATCTTCTGTGTTCTTGATGAGAATCAGTTAAGAATTCGTTCGATCTCGGTTCCTTCGAAAAAGTGGAATTGGCGAATTGAAATTGAAATCCAGCGGTGGGCGAATTGCGCGAAGAGGCGAAGCGGAGTATCGAGCCGAGACCCGTGGACCCACCCACAAAACCCCCTCCAGTTGTCGGGACTGGAGGGTGAGTCCGCGATAAGAAGAAGCACGTGGACGACGCATCGAAAGCAGCCCGGGGGCGCAGCACGCCGCTCGCCAGCCGGTGGACGAGTGCCACCAACGGTAGACGAAGAGCAGAACAACTTCGAAGGAGCGATTTGTGTGTGCACGGCGGCGACGGCGGCGGAGGCGGCGGCGGCTGCGACGGCGGCGGCGCACACACGCACGGCTGCTTCTCTCTTCTCTTCCTCGGATGTACGCGAACGGAGAGTGCGCGTATCCGCGCTTCTCTCTATCTTCCTCTCTTTCTCTGTCTCCCTCTTTGTTCCTCTCGTCGCGTTTAGCTCCGGTTCAGTCAGCGCGGCAGAAGACGGGGCTCACGGATCGGAACGGTTCGGGTCGAAGCGAGACGAGGCGAAGACGCGAGGGAAAAGCGCGTGGGGAGAGAGTCGGCCGTGTCTGGTAGGGGAGAGGTGCGAGAGGCGAGCGGTGGAACGACGGCGGAGGCGGGGAGAACGCGACGCGTCGTTCCGCGCGACGGGGTGGGGCATCGTTTCCAGAACAGCTTGGTGGGGAGCGACGAACCGCGGCTTCGTTCCCGAGCGGCGAAGGAAGGGGCAGAGAAGTGGCACCGCTCCCCTCCTCTCTGTCTCTCTCTCACCCTCCGGAGGGGTTCAGTCATCTCGCGCCAGCCGAGCCACGCGCACTCGCCTGTTTCACGTTCTGGGCTCGGTGAAAGACTCTCTCTCTCAGGGCTTGGAAAACGGCTCGCGTCCGTCACCTTCTCGCGTCAGTTTCTCTCCCCGCGCGATCACGGCCGATCGCCCGCCGGTCAATCGTGGTGGATATCGCCGTGTGGTGGAAACGTGGACGGGGGTTGGAACGAGTGCCTTTCTTTTCTTCTCCCTCGAGCCGAGTGCCGCAGGATCTTGGTTGGCCTATCAGCCTGCCGCCCGGTGGACAGTTAAACGCACGGGAACCAGACCGCCCCCTCCGTGGACGGAAGCCACGGAACACCCCCACTTCTTGGCCGACCTAAGCCTCCCCCACCCACCAGCCAACCGCGGAGCGGAGTGTTCCGCGGTGCAGAGAGCGGAAGGCACACCGGGTACCGAGTTTCACGGGTGGAGAACCCCGTGGATGCGTCGCGATCATCCCCCCGGAAGGATCGTTGATAAGGTGGAGCAAGTTTTTCGGGACGTTTCGATGGTGAAACGGGCTGGTATCGAGGTAAAACTCTCCCCTTGAACGTTTACTGTTTTTTTTTTCTCTCCTTTTTTTTTTNTTTTTTTTTTTTTTTTTTTTTTTTTTTTGCGTCTTATCCGCTCCCTCGTTTTCCGTCCGGTGGACGCGCACGCGCGCACAGACACGCATACACACGCGCACACACGCGGGCACAGATACACACACCCCACCTTCCACGGACCATTGCCACTACCAGCACTTGGGAAACAAACCCTCTCCCCACCCCCTGTGGGAAGTGGAGAGAGCCGGGCCAGCCAGAACAGAGGACAGTGGCATCATCGCGCGCCGCGAATTCTCGACTTCTTCTCTCCGTGAATTCGTGTTGGTACCGGTTACTTCCGGTCCCACGGCGTCGTCCCAAGGGTCGGATCGAATCGAGTCGAGTCGAGTCGAGTCGTCGTTCGTGTCGCGTTCTCCGATCGAATCGAGTGATACTCAGCCGCGGATGCGCCCGTTGGATGACAGTGCGACAGTTCGGGGAAACAGAGAAAGAGAGAAAGAGAGAGGGGCCAGTGATTTTTTCTTTATTTTCTCCGATACGTGGACGGTAGTGCGTACGTATATACGTATATATATACATATATATATATATATATATATATATGTACGTAATATATATGTAAATATATACATATATATATAACATATACACGATCGTGTGACAAGTTTTTTTCGTGATCAGTGTGCTCGAAGGAAAGATTATTTGTTGTTTCGGTCGAGAGAAGGTTGTTGTTTGTTGGTTGGTGGATCGTTCCGTTTTCGCATCTCGGTCTCGTCGACCCGCGTCGATTCCCGCGGTGAACCGATCAATCCGCGAGTGAAGGGAGTGGTGGCGGCGGGATGCTGCGAGCCACGAAACTTTGAGCGACCGCCCCTCGACGAACTGTAACCGCGTATAACCGCGGTGGTACATCGCGGCGAGCTATGAGACACGGGGACGGCGACGCGCGGCAACCCGGTGGAGTTTCCATGTTCGCCTCGTAAGGAGGAGGTGCTCGATCTTTCCCGGAGGAGAAGGAAGGAAGGAAGGAAGGAAGGAGAATCCCGACGTCGGATCGCAAGTTTTTACCAGTGGACTGATTTTCTTTTCGCGAGTACGAGATCGGAACCCTCTCCCTCCTCCCCCCCCGGGGTAGTTGTTTTCGCCCCCCCCAAGAGAGGAGGACCTCTACTATGTTGGACGGAGGAGAGACAAGAAGCGGAGGAAACGGGGATACTCGAACTTGAAACAGGGAAATAAGAGTGAGAAGTCGAGGTAAATACCAGAGAAATGCACGCTTCTTCTAACCTTCTCTTCTTCTCTTGCCGCGCGGACGAACGAAGGGAGCGCGAAACGAAATTGGTTTTGGAAGCGTTGGAGGAAGACTCGAGTCGAAATAGACGACAGGGATGGGATTTCGAGGAGGGAGAAGAGAAGCCGTTAAAATTTCGAGCGCAAAGTTTATTTATAATTTATACGAGCGAGTGAAACGTGGTGGCGCGCTCGGTTCTGCAACAAAGTATTCGAATTATGTCAGGGAAGTGATGGGTTATTGCAGGGGAGGCTGTAAAGTAGTTGGCAGCCACTTTAGCCTTTGGATTCCGCGTCGTGTTCGCCCGGTGTTCGCCAACCCCAGAAGCCCGATTTAGCACCGACGTTGTTTCCATTGTTCTTTCGAAACGAGGGGGAGGAAAAATTCTCTCTCTCTCTCTCTCTCTCTCTCTCTTTCTCTCCTTTTCAACGCAACGGAGAAGAGAGAAAGAGAGAAATCCTCTCCCTCTCTTCCGCGAACGGACGAAAGCGAAAACCGCCTCCGTCTCCGCTCCCGGAATAATTACATATCGTGAAAATGTAACGGCGGCGTGTAGCTGTCGAATGGCGTGAATTCCATCTGGGAGGAGGGAGGGAGGGAGGGAGGGATGGACGTAATTGGCAGCCGGGGGAAAAGGAGAGGGATATATCGCGTTCGGTTAGAGCGGAAAATTAGCGTTGCTCACGGTCTCTGGCCGGGTGGAAATAACCGGGAGGAACGCTGGCTGATTTCACGCGACGATGCTATCTTGGCGGGATTTAAGAAACGGGGGAGGGGGGCGGGGGAGAAGGAAAGAAACGTGATATCGGGGATCCCCCCCTCTCCCCATCCCCCCACGCTTGCACGCGCGCGAACCCCGAGGTTTTATTCAGGGGTGAATTTTTATGGCGAGCCCGAGCCTGACGATCAGCCCAGCCCGAGAAGTCTCGAGAGCCTGTAATCGGAATCGCGGGCCTCGCGATAAGCCCTCTCTCCTCCACCCCCTCCCCCTTCCTCCCCGCTTCGTTTTCGCTCAAACTTCCTTTTCTTCGCGCGTTCTCGATAAAGCCGCCGCGTCACACCTCGACGGAATTAACCCCCTCTCCCTCCCCCCTTATATTCTTTCTTCCTTCTCTCCCCCTCCTCCCTCTCCTCTCTTCTCTCTTCTTTTTCTTCTTTTTTCCCCCTTTCATTCGACCCACGCGGCCTCGTGACGCGATGAAAACGAGGCTTGTAATTTGTATTCGTTTCGAACGGACGAGAGACAAGGACGAGGAATCTGTCCTAAGGAACAGGTGGTGTTTTCGTGTCGAAGCCGAGCGTTCGTTTCGAAATTTTCCCTTACTTATCAGGTCGGATCGCGTCGTCGTTTATAACCAGCTCACCGTTTTATCGTTAGTTTCTGTTCTCGAGTAGCCCCGATCGATTCGGTAGACGAAACCAGGTGTAGATTCGTGTTGAAATGTTTGCTCGAAATACTAGACGCGTATCGTTTCTTCTCGTTTCAACGTTTCAACGACGAACGACGACAACGACGACGACGACGACGACAAAGACGACGAGGACGGGGAGAAGGTTTATCTTATAACCTTGGAGTTTGAATCGTCATCGTTCTCTCCATCGTTCTCTCTTTCTTCCTCGCGAGATATATACGCGAGTTGGAAATATATATATATATATATATACGAATCCACGCACGGCGGGATCCCGCGAATTCCTCGAGCGAATGTCTCGAGGAGACGAAGACGCACTCTCCCCCCTCCTCCATTCATCCACCGTCCCTCCGTCCATCCCGTGTTCCAAATTAGGTTCCAACGCGACTCCGCTCCCCGCTTTTCATCTTCGTCCTCCTCCTCCTCCTCATCCTCCCTTTCTTACTATTATTATATCCGTTAAACTCCGCAAAATCGCGAACGATAGAGCTCCATCCGCCACGCTAATGCTTTCTCCGAGGATCGATCTATCGACACGCTCTAAAGCAAGCATCGTGTAGAAAAAAATACGACGGTGGAAACCACCACGATGAACAAGGGGGAGGGACCATCGTTGAAGAAAAGACAGAGGCAAGAAATCCTCTCTTTCTCTTTCTCTCTCTCTGTCTCTCTCTCTCTCTCTCTCTCTGTTCCTCTTTCTCTTCGCTCGATAAAGAAAGACGAAATGAAGAAATCAAGGGGAAAACGGGAGGGGGAGGGGGAGAAGGAGAGCACACACTTGTTGATACGCGCGGAGAGAAGGTGGGATCGCGGAGGAAAGAAGGACGAGGAGAGAAAAAGAGGGCGCGGAGGCTGCGGTGGCGGCCGAATGGGGGGGAAGAAAACCTCGAAACAATTGGAGGCGCGGAGGCGGCCGCATTTCATGTTGGCTGGCATCGGCTCCCTTTAAAGAGTCTCTTGCTTTTTGTTAGCTCTTCGAAAATTATGATTGTTTGTCCGCGAGATTTACTGCTGCCGCGGCCCTCTCAGTGCGGTACAACGTAGCCGAGGTGCCCTCCAGGGGCAAACCCGAAGACTCTCCTCGCGGGCGAGGGAAGGGGTTGGGGGATGGTTTGCGCACAGATTAGAGAGAATCGTGAACGTCGCGGATCGTGCACTGTCGCGCTACCGTCTCTTTACCCTCTCTCTCTTTCTCTCTCTCTCTATCTCTCTCTCTCTCTCCTTTTTTCACACCGTTCGTTATTTATCACGCCTCGTTCCGCGTAATCTGCCAGCGCAAATTAGCAGCGCCGCTTAGCGTTTGAATTAGCCGGCAAAAAAAAAAAGGGAAAAAAGGAAGAAAATTTCCATCGAGCGCGTTTCCTTTTTTTCCTTTTTTCTCTTTTTTTCGTTTTTTATTTTTCGTTTTATCGGGATTATCGTTGCGCGAAAAATCGTGAAAAAAAGAAAAATTGGAAGGAAAAAGAAAACGAGATAACTCGTCGTCGTCGTCGTCGTCGTCGTCGTCATCGTCCCTTGTCGTTAGTTTGGAATAATTAAAGTCGAGCGTAATTTCCGTTTAGCGCGCGTATATTAATAGTTGGAACGATAAATCGATTTTCACGTTACGATCCTCCGTTTCATTTCCACTCTCGCGCGCGAAAGATGACCCAATTCGCAAACATTCCACGAATACTCTACCTGGATGGATGGAAATATTTATTTATTATCGACGATCGGAATAAAGAGGAGAAAGAGGAGAAGGAGAAGAAAGAGGAGGAGGAATAGAAGCGTGTTATATCGAGGGCCGTTCGTCGTACACGTTTCTCGCAAGGAAATGGGAAATTGTAAAACTTCCTTTCACCCTTTTTTTTTCTCGTTCGATTCTGAATTCAAGGTTCGACGATCACGTTCGATCGTAAACCATCGACTTGCAAGCTCGATACTCGGGATATTCCGTTGATTTATTCGGCATCTTATTGTGCCTGCTGAACTAAACCCGGCTTGACCATCCCAAAAACCGACTTTCTCTCTTTCTCCCACTCCCTCTCTCCCTCTCTCCCTCTTTCTCTTCCTTCTCTCCCGTTGCACGAGGATCTGGCGATCGCTCTATAAATTTCACCAGTCTTTCGAACCCTATATTTTCTCGTTATCCTCGCGTTTTGCACGACACGTTTTATTAAAGTACGATAATTTTACGAGGCGCATTCCTCCGACCTTCTCCTTCCTCCCTCCCTCCCTCCCTCCTCCTTCTCGCTCTTCCATTTTTTTCTCTCCCTTCTCTCCCTCTCTCTCTCTCCCTCTCTCCCTTCTCCCGCATGTTCGCCTCGCTATCCGCCACCCAAGCGGTGGTTCCCCTTTTTCCCTCTGTTTCACGGTTTCGCCGGGCCACGATTGTTCGACTGTGTCTTCCCGGTTGCGAGAGGAAGAGGAGAGGAAGAGGGCAAAAGGCAATCGCCTATGGATCGGGTTTCGCGTGGAAATGAATTCTTCTTGGTCTAACGCGTTCTGAATCGCCTCGATCCCCCCGAGGCGTGCTCGGTTTCAGGAATTCGAAAAAACGAAATACTTGTTTGCGCATCCATCTGTAAAAAAGATTGGGGGGGGGGGGGAGAGAGAGAATAAAAAGCGCGAAATTTATCGTCTCTCGATGATCTATCCATCAAAATCTATTATTGATCGCGTCGTTCCCTTCTTACGTTCGAATTTTTTGAACTGCGTCGAAACGAAGAGATGAATCGTGAAATCGTAACGAGGGATTGACAAATAAATGGAAAAAGTAAGGAGAACGTTGGCAGAGAGAGAGAGAGAGAGAGAAAGAGAGAGAGAGACTTTGGTCGAAAGTTGTCGGACAATTATTCAATTATCGCGTGTTCATCGATGAAACGAAGGGAAGATCACGGGGCATCAGAAGTAGTCTCGAGACGGGTTCGTGTGTATATATATATATATATATACGTCGGTCTGTACCTTCCCGGGGAAGGCAGCTCGGCAGTAAAAGGCCTAAAGTTTTTAATACTTTCAGTTGTTTTTATGGCGGCTGGCATTTGCTCTTTTTTATTGTTCGTCTCCTCTTTCCTTCTCTCCCTCACGGCCAACACGCACACGACCCTTCAACCGCGATCAACGGAGAGAAAGAGAAAAGGAGGCGGGAGGAGAAAGGGGAGGGGAAGTGAAAGAAAGGAGACGAAGCGAAGGCGCGTACGCGAGGTGGAAGAGAGAAGGTTGGAGAGGCAAAGGAGAGAAAGACCTCAGTCAGCCTTCTCTGATGTACGACTCGGCGGTCCGCGTGAAAAAAATCCCATAAACCAGTAAAAAAGCACGGGGTCTCTGGGCCAGAAGGGACGGGAGGGACGAAACGGTCGGGACAAGGGAAGAAGTGGAAGAAGGAGAGGAGATGGAGGGCCCAGTATCGCTAAAGGAATTCCTCTTATGACGAACCACGCGTGATTTTCTCTCATTCCCCCTCCCTCCAACCTTCCACCAGTTCGAATGTGCACTTCTTCACCTCCCTTTACAACCATTCTTCCATTTCTTCCTCTCCCTCTTCTTCTTGTTCTTGTTCTTCTTCT